GGGGCTGGACCCCGGGCGCCCTTCTTAGAGGTCCCACCTCGGCCACGGGTGGCCTTGGACGTCCTCGGGTGCGCAGGCGGTAGGGCAGGCRCGGTGATCCGTGCCGACCTGCGGAGGGGTTCTGTTGCTAGGCCGTCGTGACCTTGCCCCTCTATCGCTGCTGCTCCGACCTCCCTCTGGTGGGCATCGCTGGCAGCTAGGGTCCTTCGATCCGCCGTATTGGTCGAGTTTGCGGGTTGAACCATCTTCGTTCACGTAATGGTTTAAAAAGATTGAGATGACTTAGATTGTCAGTTCCTCACAGACGACGCCAAATGTTTATGCAAGGATATGCACAACAGCGTATTTCAGATTGCAGCTCGAACTCGGCCTGCGGACCGATCTGAATACTTGGGCGGACCTGCACAAAAAGGTGAGCACTCCGACGATCAAGTCAGTATAGGTCGGATTCCCGGTTTAGTTCGAGGTCAAAAATCATCCTACCTGATCGTGGAGTGAAGTCCTCTACTTATGGGTGGTAGTCCCGCTAATCTCGCAACGGTTACACTCGGTAATCTCGGGATCGTCGGTTACGCCCGGTAATCTCGGGACCGACGATTATGCCCGATAATCACGCCACTGTCAGTAATTCGCATCGGCCCCTACCGAACTTCCCGGTAGTCGGACCTTGGCCAGGTTCACCTCAGCCCCCATACTTAGCATGTATCAATGCTAGTAGTGGTGGTTTCGACCATCCGAGCTGGGCATGACTCATGAGTCATCTTGGAGCACCAATAGGGGTCCTCCACGTGTCCAGGGTATTTTCATCCCCAAACATATATGATTATATATTTTCATTACAAAACAACCAAAACTCTTACTTAAAATGTTTTTTTTTGTTAGTAAAATTAGAAAAATAGTAACCACATTTAATTCTTTCAAGTATCACACTTTAAAAAAAAATAACAACAGAGGTCCAATTTTAAAATGACAATTTTACACAAATGATATACATCTGTAATATATCTGTAATATATTTGGAATATATCTGACTATTGATATATGTATGCGATATAAATATGACATACTACTAATATATAAGTGTCTGATATACTTGCAATATGTATGTGATATACATATGATATACTACTAATATGAGTGTCTGTGTAATATGTATGTGATATACATATAATGTACTACTGATATGAGCGTCTGATATACTGTTGATATGAGTATAGTATATCAGTGAAAATTTTTTCTATATTTGAAAATTTAAAAAACATGTGACATATTTTGAAATACATAAAAATTTTTGCTACCTGCTACAATTTTTCATATTTGTAATGTTAGTGGCAATTTCGTGCCTACACGCCTTTAAACGATTTTATTAATAATGTTTGCGTGACTATCATGCCTATATTTTTGAAATTGGTAATTTTGTCTTCTATACTTCAATTTATTGATCTCAATAAGTCCTTCCATGAATTTTTGGTGTTAATTAAAAATTGTATAAAAAAGAGGCTGAAGCAATGTGGACCATTGATGTAACCAACAACTTTTGGATGCCCATGGATCACCCAACAAATTAAAATACATGGACAAACAAAAAAATATAAGTATAAAGAAATGACAAATAATACAATTTAACCTTTCTAATAACAAACTACCCACATCTTATAACAAACAAAAATTTGAAATTTCCTCCCTTAAAATTTTGTGTTCTCATTGTCTTAAAGTAAAGCTTGAACAATAAACAAAAATCAAACAAACAATACCACTCTCTCTAGTTGAAAACAACACACTTCAAATTTTCCAATCCAAACTACAAAATCAACAACCGTGCGAGAACTTTTCCTTCCGATTTAAAAAAAAAAAATCAACCAAAATGTTAAAAGGGCGATGTCAATGGAAATATGAAATATTGATGTCTCAATTTTATGAAAATGTCATGGAAAATATCAATATGGATGGATATATATTTCTAGAAAGATTATAAAAATGAAAAATTTATAATTTAAATATAAATTAACAAATAGACATTTTACTACTTTTTTTTAATAAGTTCAAAATTTTTAAAACTAATATTATGTCTTAATATGTTACTACTTTTTATAATTTGTTGATTTTTTTGCAATAACGCGTAGATTCATCTCTCTATCTCGACATCAAATTCAATAACATGTGGATAGAAATTCAACCTAACATTTGTGAGAAAAGTAGCATTGCAGGATGAAATATGTATCCCATTTTCAGTCGAAGTATTTAAATTTGTCCAAAAAAGGACAACAAAGAACAAAGCTACTTTTGTATTAAGATTGACTTTGAAATCACCTTTGTTGGGTTTTAACCATGCTTGTAATCATAACTAAGCATTATTAAATCCCATTATTATTGAATTGGTAACAATTGTTTCTTTGTCTTCTTCTTTGAGGGGAAAAAAGAAAAGAAAAGATGAGATTAAAATATTAATTCACTATATATTTACTTAAGAAATGGCCACTAACCTTTTTTTAATTAAATTACTAAAATCTCCACTACTTTATAGGATGCTTTTGAATTGATCAAGCCATTTCAAATGGGTGTGAGTCTCTTTTGAACAAAAATTATGGTGTTGTGTGTATGATTGTGTTCATTGAAGGATGATGACATTTTGTGGATCATATTTTTCCCCCACGGCTATTATGGTAAAATTGTCCCTACAACAAATTGAAATTTATTGTTTCTTTTTTCTAACACAATTGAGGGAATCAAAAGAGAAATGGAATGGTAAAAAAAAAACCTTTTGTAAATCTCAAATCAAATTCTACTTTCTTAATTTTTGAAAATTGATTCTTTAGGTTCAAATGACATTTTTGATATGTATCGTGATTTTATTAACGTTTTGTATTATGGACCTTTCTTTCGTCATAGTTTAGTTCCTTTGAAAGTTAGTGCTGTTGAAGTTAAAATTTTATTTTACTATGACCTTTTCCTTTTTTTTTTAATTTTTTTAGAAAATATTTAGAAAATAGTCATTAAAATTGTGTATGAAGTCAGTTGATCTCTACCGTTACTTTGGTGGTTATGATAGGAGTAATTTTCCTCAATTAATAAGATATTGTATCTTTTTCTAGCTCATCAATCATTAAAGATTAAATGCATCCATCATTCTCTAGAGATTGGAGGTTCTTAATCGCTCAAATTGAATTAATGTCTAAAACTTAATAAGTACATTTTTAAGTATAAAAATTTAATCTTAAAAAAAAAAAAAAGCCAAACCAGCCCTTTTTATATATATCTTTCTTATTTTTCGAAATGGATAAGATAAAAACTTTAGTAAACTCTAATTATCTAACTCATGTCTGGATTCAATTGATATTTACTGTTACTTTGACTTTTGCAGTTATTTTGTAGGGCAAGTTTTAAAAACATATAAAATTTATAGAATTACAATTGTGAAAAAAAAAGTACTTAAAAAATATCACAATTTAAAATTTATATTATATTTGAATTTGGGGAATTTTTTTATTTATCATTGGTTGTACTAAAAAAAAAAACTTCAATTTATAGGAATACCTCAAAGATAGACTCACTAAAAATTCCATTAGAAAGATGGAGAATTTCACTCCCGATTTCTGACTCCAAGTTTCTTCCCAAGAAAAAGAAAGAAAAAAAAAATCTAACTTCAAGTTTCAATTTTAAGAATCCAATAATCCCTCCAAACAAACAGTACACGAAGATTTAAAAAATCAGCCCAAGAATGGCATTGGGATACTGGTAAAATCATGGGGAATCCAATTCCAATTCCTCTTTTTGCAAGATTGGAGGGTTGGGTAATTTTCCTAGTAAAATGAATTTTCTATCATCACTTTCTCGGTAACCAAACAGCAACAGTAGAAACTGTAGAACTTCCATAAAAGAATTTTCAAATGTCCTGCTAGTTATAGGCACAAGCTATAGCTTAAATTTAACAAGTTCTTTTCTTTTCTTTAATTGCTATTTGTGTTCTATCAATGGCGGAAAATTCCAATTTAGATCTAACTCAACCCATCTCAACTAACATAGTCGGAGAATATTCTGACTTCAATTTTCTCAGAACGAGGGACCCATTTGGTTTCTTTTCAAAAAAAATTTAATTGTTTCGAAATTATCATTTTTTATATAATTTTTTTTGGGTTCTCTCTCTTTTTTCTCTAACTTCTGGTTGTGGTGACTGGCGAACTGGTACCTGCAATTTTTTTCTTGAGGTGGGGAAGGCAGAAAATGCCATACAAGTTATTCGCTTGATTCGAGGAGCTCTGTTTCTGAGACCATTTTCATGGAGGTTCACTCCCGAGTTGAAAAAACAGAGAGAGATCAGATTCAGATCGAAACCCATCGCCACAATTTTCTTCTGGATTCACGTACACTGTTCCTAACTCAATAGAAATGATTTTTCTTCTCTAGGTTTTTGAAGTTCAATTCCTTCCTCGCATTCTCATCTTGGGAAGTTCAGTTCATAATCCAGGTCCCTCTCTCTCTCTTTCTGTGTTTCTTACTCTGAATGTTGTACTCTGGCTCGATTGCAGAAGTTTGCTGCTGTTTTTGAATGTGGGGTTTACTTTTTTGTTGCAAATTTGTGATCGGAAGCCTTTGTTTGTGAAGATAATCGCGGATATTGCTTGTTGTATGGCTGTAATGTGCATCGATTTTGTTCTTCAGCTTCGAATTTGCCATGTTAGAAACTTTTCTTCTACCAGATCTGTGGTTCAGAGCACCATTTTGATTGCTATTTCATGGTTTTGGACTTGTTTTGTGGCTTTTTTGCTGTGTCACGAATCTGGATTTCCCGCCGCCGTATGCTTGAAAATGATGAAAAGAGGCGTTTCTTCTTCTTCTTGATGGTTTGGGGTAGGGTTTTGGGGCAAATGTCTTTGGATTACAACTTGGAAAATACTTTCTGTTGACTCTGGAAGACTTGTTTGTTTGGGTTTTTTTTGGATTTTAACAGAATTTTGTTTGTTAATTCATGAATCTACCCTCCCCACAAGCTTCAGATTACCAATCTTGCTTTCATATCCAAAACAAGTCCGCTAAACTGAGCTTTAGCTTATGAGGATTTGCTTCAAGAGACATGCTTCTATACCACAAGGATCTTCAATAGAAGGCTTCAATTTAAGGATTTTCTTTTCCACCATTTCCTCCTTTTTCTCACCTTATTTCTTTTCTTTCTTCTTTCACATTACTTCCATCAAGTTGGTTCCTTGTAGCCTTCCCTGTTGATTTTTGAACTGTTGTTTCTTTTTCATAGCTAAGGTTTCAAAGTTATCTGGTAATCCTCTTATCTTATTTTAGTTCTGGTGTTTGTAATTTTAAGCTATGATTAGTTGATTCCAGGTTCATAATTATGAGCTAAAGATTTCTATATCAATTCATAGAATTCTAAATGCTGAATAGCTTTCCTAAAGAATGATGTTGTGACTGCAGATACACCATAAAGTTTGCTGAAGTGAAGTTTTCGATGTCTCGTGGAAGCTAGGAAAGATTTCTCGGCAGACAAGAGCTCCTTCACGTACAATGTTCTGAAATTATCCAGCCACCTTGATTCTAAACGTTTGTCTTCCAGATCGTTAAGCATCTCACCATGCTTAAGCAAATACTGAGCAAACTTCCTCGGAAGTTGCAGAAGTTGGAGACGACGGATTCTGCAGTAAATGATTCTGGCAACAACAACAACACTTCTCGTCTTGGACATGTATTTCAGTGTACAAATGTAGGGAGTGCCCTCTCGAGCAAACTAAACGTGGTGAAACGTGTTTCTTCAGCAGTTTTTCCTGCAAGTATTGCAGCAGGAGCAGAAGCAGTGGATCCCCATCTGTCATTCAAAGAAGTTCCAAATCCACAGAAGCAAAACTTGTTTATCAGTAAATTAAACTATTGCTGCGAGGTTTTCGATTTGAATGATATGGAGAAGCAGGATCTTAAACGTCAGATGTTGATAGATGTTGTTGATTTTGTTACCTCTGGATCTGCAAAGTTCACCGAGACAGCAATTTCAGCAGTGTGTAAGTTGTGTGCTGCTAATCTTTTCCGGGTTTTCCCACCCAAATCGCGCTCAACTGTGACTGGTGGAGAAACAGAGGATGAAGAACCAATATTTGACCCTGCTTGGTCACATTTGCAAAATGTATATGATCTACTACTTCAGTTTGTCAGTAGCAATTCTCTAGATGCAAAGTTGGCCAAAAAACATCTTGATCATTCTTTTATCTTGAGATTGCTTGACCTCTTTGATTCTGATGACCCTAGAGAAAGAGATTGCGTTAAAACAATCCTTCACCGTGTTTACGGTAAGTTCATGGTACACAGGCCTTTCATCAGGAAGGCCATTAGCAATGTAATGTACCGATTTGTTTTCGAGACCGAGCGGCATAATGGAATTGCAGAACTGTTGGAGATTTTTGGGAGTGTGATTACCGGGTTTGCATTGCCATTGAAGGAGGAACACAAGACATTTTTATGGAGGGTGCTAATTCCTCTTCACAAACCAAAATCAATCGGCATTTATCATCAACAATTAACATATTGTATTGTACAGTTTATAGATAAGGATCCAAAGTTGGCCAGTTCAGTTATAAAGGGACTTTTAAGATATTGGCCTTTAACAAATAGCCAGAAAGAGCTGATGTTCTTAAGTGAAATAGAGGAGATTTTGGAAATGATCAGCATGGTCGAGTTCCAGAAGATCATGGTCCCTCTCTTTCGGCGAATCGGATTCTGCCTGAATAGCTCTCATTACCAGGTTTATTTTCTACTTCAAACTATATCTGTGATCATTCATTGTGTTTCACTAAATTTTACCTGCTGATATATACATATTCTACGAGCATTGAAGAGCTTCAAATGGATTAATTCCGTGATAAATATGAAGAATTCGATTTGATTGCCTGTCTTTTCGAGCTTTTAGTTGAATTCTGGTTGGTACATTTGTTTATTTTTTGAATTCTTTTAGGTGGCAGAGAAAGCTCATCTGCTTTGGAACAATGAACACATTGTCAATCTTATCTCACACAATCGGCAATCGATCATTCCGATCATCGTCCCAGCACTCGAACGGAATACACAAAAGCACTGGAACAATGCTGTACTCAATCTAACTTTAAATGTGAAGAAGTTGGTTCATGAGATGGATGAGGAACTGGTGCTTGCTTGTCAGCTTGAATTGAAGGAGGAACATTCAAGGTCGATCGCAGTGGCAGAGAAGAGGAGATTGATGTGGGAGCGACTCGAGAATGCTGCAAATCCACAGCCTATATCGTCTAACGTTTCGTTTCTGGTAGAACCAGCAACATGTGCAGTTGCTGGCTAATCACTTAGAATTGGAAGATCAAGCCAACAAAATGATGGTAGTTTTACTTGCAGTAACGAATCTTTCAATTCGACCGAGTTTTTCGATTCCACTGCAAAAGGCTCGTCTCGCTGAGAAGCCATGAACGAGTTTTAAGATGGATGATCGGATCGGATCCTGCTCAAACTCTCTGTACAGGTGTGCTGGGTTAGCAGCTTCTCTGGTTGCTATATATTTGAGAAAATTCTGTATCCTCTTCACTGTTTTTCCGCATCTCATTAGTCATTAATAATGGGATCTTGTGCTTTTGATTACCACTTGAAGCATATTGAAGGCTTCAGCTTTGAACTTGTTTGTTCTTCTAAAATTTCATTCTCTTCTCTTAGCTACAAATTCTAATTCTTAGTTTAAATTTGCAGAATCTGAGAGTTCCAATTTCTCTATCCTGGCTGGGTCCGGTCCAAAAATTATATAATGAAATATCCATTAAATTACATGTTTAGTTATTGTACGTAGTTTTCGTTAAATTACAAGTTTAGTTATTAAACATTTGAGGTTGTGTTAAATTACAAGTTCAAAGTCCTAGACTTGATTGGAAATTTTCAATTTTGTATCTAATGGATTATTAAATTTTTTTATTTTTTTGTCCTAATAAATCCTCTAATTTATTATACATTTTAAAAATTCATAGGCCAATTAGACATGAAATTGATATGAAAAAAAAGACTGGGTCCAATCTATCTGTAGAGATCTATTTCGCATGCTTTTAAAATTTAAAAACTTATTAGATACTAGAAACAAAATAGGGACATCGAGGACATAAAATTAGATATTATGTGAATTTTTGGATTGAGGGATTTTTTTTAAATAATGTATTTTAAGAAAAAAAAAATAAACAGAAAGAATGTAGTGATGAAAGTAATTTAAAAAATAGGTTAGCAAAATCATGGACAATAGTGGCGGTTTTCAATAAAGTGTAAAAAATTATGTTACTCCCGTACTCATGTATCTTTTGATTTCACCCTAGAGGGTTTGTACTAATAGAGATATTGTCTTAATCCTACGTACTCGTAATCTTTCTCTTATTTAGCAAACATGAGACTTTGGTTGCATTCCCAATAATTTTGTTGTTTTTTGTGTTATTTATTATATGAATTATTTTGGATTTGTTTAATATATATATATATATTTTTTTTTTTTAATTTTAATTTTCTTGGATTATTATTTTTTATTTTTATTTCTAATTTTCTTGGACTATTTATTGTTTTCATATGTTAATACTGTTGGGATGATTTGATGAGTGTGGTGGATTGTTTTTACATTTTATATTGTTTGGACTAATTTGGTGGTTTTTACATTTTATTTTGTCTCGACTGATCTGGTGAATATTGTGTGTATTATATTAACTATTATATATGTATTTAGTATAATTGAAATATTTTTGGACTTATTTTGAAATATTTTTTTGACTCATTTGAAGGGTCAATGGCCATGGAAATAGATCCAAAGAATATGGTTATAGTGTCGAAGTTTGTGAACAAAGAAGCCCTATAACTGCCGTAAAAAAACCTTTACCATTTAAATTTCCATAATAATATTAATTTAATTTAAAAAATGTATATTGAACTCGTGTACAAACATGGAAATCCCATACAATTGCTGACTCAACCCCACACGTCAGATTTGACGTGGCAGCTCCTAAATCTGACTTTGACCAAATTATAACCTTTTTTCTCTCTTTTTTCTTTTCTTTTTTTGTCAAAATTGTTTTAAATACATTATTCTAAAAATTAGCGGTTATGCCTTTTTTAGGGTGTGTTCCTCATACCAGACAGTTGCAGTCCAATATCTCACATGATAACGCCTCGGTCTCCCGCCAATTTTGCATTGTCGAAAATGCGGAACTTGAAATTAATATTCAGAAATCTATGTCGAAGTTAGAGTTGGAATTCCGTTTTTGTCTCTGGATTAATCTCCAATTATGGAAGTTGCTAATTCAACCACTTCTTCTGACTTCTTTGCACATAACCTGCAATCAAGCGTAAGAATCAGAGACCCATTTACCGGAAGATCAGTTCATTCCCAAATAATCAAAAAAGGTCTTCATCTTGGGGTGTACTTGATGAATAATCTTATGAACTTCTATGCCAAAACTGGGTCACTCAAGGATGCCCACCACGTGTTCGATGAAATGCCCGTTAAATCTACATTTTCATGGAACACTTTGATTTCTGCGTATGCCAAACAGGGCAATTTTGATTTATCGCGTCGCCTTCTGTATGAAATGCCTGATTGCGATCCTGTTTCTTGGACTGCGATCATTGTGGGTTACAATCAGTTGGGTCAATTTGATGGCGCGATTTGGATGTTTGCAAAGATGATATCTGAGAGAGTCTCACCTACCCAATTCACGGTCAGTAATGTTCTTTCTTCCTGCGCAGCGAATAAAGCTTTAGACGTTGGTAGGGAGATTCATTCATTTGTTGTCAAACTTGGACTTGGTAGCTATGCTTCTGTTTCGACTTCCTTGCTGAATATGTACGCAAAATGTGGAGATCCGATCATAGCTAAAGTTGTTTTTGACAGGATGACGCTGAAGAACATTTCATCTTGGAATGCTTTGATTTCATTGTACATGCAATCTGGACAGATTGACCTTGCTGCTGAACTGTTTGAGAAAATGCCTGAACGCGATATAGTTTCCTGGAATTCGATGATTGCAGGGTATAATCAGCAAGGGTATGATTTTGAAGCACTTGATATCTTCTCCAAGATGTCGAATGAACCTTCTTTAAAGCCAGATAAGTTCACCTTGGCAAGCGTTTTATCAGCTTGTGCCAATCTTGAGAAGTTGAATCTTGGGAAACAGATACATGGTTGTATTATAAGAACAGAAACTGAAACTTTCGGGGCAGTTGGCAATGCTTTGGTATCAATGTATGCAAAATCAGGTGGGGTTGAAATAGCTAAACGGATTATTGAGCATAACAGGACTTCAAATCTAAACATTATAGCTTTTACTGCCCTACTGGATGGATACACCAAGCTTGGAGATGTTAAACCAGCCAGAGAGATATTTGACAAATTGAGAGATCGTGATGTAGTTGCATGGACGGCCATGATTGTTGGTTATGTGCAAAATGGGTTGTGGAACGACGCACTGGAGCTGTTTCGGTTGATGGTTAACGAAGGGCCTGAGCCGAATAGTTATACCCTGGCAGCTATGCTGAGTGTCAGTTCAAGTTTGGCTGCTTTGGAGCATGGAAAACAAATCCATGCCAGTGCCATAAAAGCTGGAGAATCTTCAACAGCTTCTGTTACCAATGCCTTGATAGCCATGTATGCTAAAGCAGGAAGCATTAATATAGCCCAAAGAGTGTTTGATCTTATAAGCTGGAAGAAGGATACTGTGTCCTGGACATCAATGATCATGGCTCTAGCGCAGCATGGCCTTGGAGAAGAAGCCATCAGCCTGTTTGAGAGGATGCTCTCAGTTGGTATGAAACCTGACCATATCACTTATGTAGGAGTTTTATCTGCTTGTACACATGTGGGATTAGTAGAACAAGGCCGAAATTACTATAATTTGATGACTGAAGTCCATAAAATTGAACCCACTCTGAGCCATTATGCATGCATGATCGACCTTTATGGACGGGCTGGATTGCTTCAAGAAGCATACCAGTTCATTGAAAGCATGCCTGTAGAACCAGATAATATAGCTTGGGGATCACTGTTAGCATCTTGTAGACTTCATAAAAACACGGACATGGCAAAAGTTGCAGCAGAAAAACTGCTTCTTATCGATCCTGGAAACAGCGGTGCCTACTCGGCCCTTGCTAATGTGTATTCGGCTTGTGGGAAATGGGAAAATGCTGCCAAGACTAGAAAGCTGATGAAGGATAGACGTGTAAAGAAAGAGAAAGGATTTAGTTGGATTCATATCCAGAATATAGTTCACGCATTCGGAGTCGAAGATGTAGTTCATCCACGGAAAGATGAAATCTACAAGATGATGGATGAGATATGGAAGGAGATAAAAAAGATGGGTTTTATGCCAGACACTGAATCAGTACTGCATGACCTTGAAGAAGAAGTGAAGGAGCAGATTCTTAAACATCACAGTGAGAAACTTGCTATAGCATTTGGGCTTTTAAGTACTCCAGAGAACACTGTTCTGAGGATTATAAAAAACCTTAGAGTTTGTAATGACTGCCATTCTGCTATAAAGTTCATCTCCAAGCTTGTAGGAAGGGAAATCATTGTTAGAGATGCTACTAGATTTCACCATTTTAAGGATGGTTCATGTTCTTGTCGAGATTATTGGTAAGCATAAGCTTGAAATTTCGTCTACAAAAGAATGATGCTTGATAGCATGGGAAAACCAGGTACGTTCTTCCTCTGTTGTCCATGTCAAATTTTGATTTATTGTAGAGTATAACTTTAAAGGTGACTACTTATTTCAAAGGTGATTGAAATATAAATTCTAGAGCCATTCCAACAAGAAAATATTTGCCAGTTTGATCCTGGTTTAATTGGTTAAGATAGATTTGAATACAACAATATTTTTATTTATGTTTTGAAACAAATTGAAAACGGGAATAAGAGAGGGAATAGGAGAACAAATAATAAGAAACTTGTTTTTGTTGTTCCAAACTTTATATATGATTTTGAGAATGATTTAAAAAAAATGAGAAACAAAAAATATAAATAGTTGTCAATAGTTTAATTATAAAATTGAAAATAGAAATAAGAAATGAGAACATTATCAAACAGACTTTAAATTTTGAAAAAGAAATTGATAACTAAACTTTCAAAATGTCTATATTAAAAGAGAACAAAAAAAAAAGTTTTCATAAAATTATTTTTGTTTTTAAAATTTTGCTAATAATTCAAATATGTTTTCACGAAATTGTATAAAAACAAAGCATAATTAAAAAGAAAAAAAGAAATAGTTACTAAAACTGCCCCTTTAACTTTTAGATTTAATTTTTTACAACTATTATTTTTATACCTAACAGCTGTCATTCAATATTCGTTTTAGCCGGTGAATATGAGCTTAGTCTTATTCCGACTATTTCTGACAAAAAAAAAGGTTTATGAATTCGAATCCTCCCATCTCATCCGTTGGATTTCCAAAAACAAAAAACAAACAAGGAAAAAAAAATATTTTAGCCCATTTGTGTGCGATTTTAATACATGAAAAATTCATTTGTTAAAATAAAAATAATGGTAATAGATAAAATAATTATTTTTAAAGTTTAGAGAGGCCAAAATATAATAAATTTGAAAATGCATGGATTAAAATAGAAATTTCAAAAGTTCATAAATCAAAATGAAAAATATGCTATTATTTAAATGTAGTTTTTCTTTTATTATGTACAACAAATGTAAAATATGGATAGTTGACGGATTCTTTTATCATTAAATTATGCTATTATGCTCATGGCAAGATTAAAAATGAGATGTAAACATTAATATCGCTGAAATATCTACCTATGAATTAAATTTACTTAAATTCATCATCTTTAACGTTTTAAGTTCTTGAGTAGTTTAATCATATTTAACATAGTATCCGAGTAGGAGCCCTGTGTTCGAACTCATGTATTGTTATTTCATCTCCAATTGATTTCAGTCCCATTGCAAGAGAAAACAGCACCCTCTCTCGTAAAAGAGATTCCAAAGGAGATTAGTAATGGTTGCATTTTTGCCCCAACAAAAGTCATAGAATCAAAAGGACTATAGAGAGAGAAGAGAAGTTGATTAACTTTTTCCATTTAGTTTGACCGATAGAGTTACAGATTGGGAAATCTAAAAATATTCATGTGTTTTAAACATAATTTAAAGTAGTTTCAGATCACAAGAAGTTTTAATTAAAACATAAAGATATGATTTCTAAAATTGATAATTTAGGTATATAATTTTGTTGATATAGGTTTTTGTTTGAAAAATGGTTGGAAACAGTAGTTTTTATTTCCTTATTGAAAATTTATTAAAGAATAAAACATTGGGAACTGACAAGACAAAATTATTTTAAATATTATAATAAATCCGATGATTTTTGTAAGGCACCACTTTATGAATAAATATTTTCAATGGTCATAAACATTTAAAATAATCATTGAAGCATAGCTCAACTGAACAAGGCGTATATCGACAAAAAAAAATTCGAATTCTTACCTCTCACATGTTATAAATTTGGGAAAAAAACTAAATTTTAAAACCACTTTTTTCCTTCCAAAAAAGCGTTTTTCATGTGCATGTAAAAAATAATAATAAAAATAAATAAATAAATAACTCAAGAGTTTGTGGCCATAGGTTACTCTTGTAGACTTTCTCACCATAAAAAAATAAAAATTATATCTTGAAAAATAATGAAATAATACAACCAGCATTTTGTCCATTTACTCAAAAGGACAATTTTATCAAAGTTCATAAACCAATAGAAAATTCCAAACTTTATAAAAATAACATAATCTAACTCAAAACTCAAACTGAAATGTAATCTAAACTAAGAAAAATAACATTTATAATTTTTTTTTGGAAAAAATGAAAATTATGACATTTTTCTAAAATACATATAAAGTTATGTTATGCAATGTAATTCCTCTAAATATTTTAAGGTTAATTATATACTATTTCTAATTATGTACTTTGGCTCGAGTCCATTTCGATTATTGTATTTTCAAAACGTCTATTTGGTCCCTATACTTTTACTTTTATTCATTTTCATTTTTATACTTCCAACTTTTGTTTATTTTAATTCTTGTATTTTCAAAACCTCCATTTTAGTTCATATATTTTTAAAAATAACCATTTGATAATTTTTTAGAGTACAATACTTAGATTACCTATTAGCCAAGGTTCTATTGATTCTTTGATGCATATGATTGTTTTTTAGTGGTGTATTTTTCTATTTACCATATTTAATAGGTCGGTGGATCTCACTTTAATCCTTGAAAATCTTGTGGTTTAAAATACGGCAACCATGTTTTAAAAATACAAAAACTAAAATGAACTAAATACACGAAAAAAATAGTATTTAAATCAAAACTTTTCGATCTAAGTTTCAAAATGTTTGGTTTGATTCTTGAAACCTAAGTTGATTGGTTAGTTTCTAAACTTTCAAAGTGCTTAATACTTTATTATGTATTAAAAAAAGGAAACTATCATTTTAGCCCAAATAAGGTGTGGTACAAGATTTTGAATGTCGATGTCGATGGATGTTGGATATTTCTAAAAAGGTTATAAAAGTAAAAAATTTACAAAAAAAAAATATTTAAACCAATAAGCATTTCAAAAATTTTAAATAAGTTAAAAAATAATTAATATTAATATTATGTGTATATTAGTAATATTTTATTGATTTTTTAAAATATTATAAAATTTTCCATTTACCCTTTAATACTGAATATATAGACACAGAGAAATACTTAGAAATATCTTGATGAAAATTTAATACTACTTTTGGCCGTTTTTAATTATTTTTAATGAGATTTAAACCAAAATACTAGAAAACGAAAATCATCGTGTGCACTGTGCTTTCAGTCGTTGGTACGGGAATGTGGATAAGTTTTCAAATCCTTAGCGAAGAAGTATCACGTTTTCTTCTGAGAGAGAGAGAGAGAATTAGGTATTTCTTCGTTGTTCGCTCTGAATAATTGCGCCGCGACCTCGATTGATTGCTTCTTCGCAGTCGAACAACTTTCGTCGGCGAAGGAACTGAAGGATCTACAAATCCAACCGCAACAGAAATGTATGCTCCTCCTTATGAACAGCGGATCTCCTACGTTACTTACGTCGAGCACGTCAAGAGACGCCATGAGCACAGAGGCTGCCTCTATGCCTGGTAAGTATAAATCTCTTCTCCTTTTCTCCGGATCGTTACTGTTTTTTGTCGATTGATCTGTGCATTTGGTTCGAATTTAGTGTATTCGCACTTTGTTGCTGTTTCTGCTGTTTCGAGACTTGCGAGTGCTGTCTGGAGTCTGTTTGTTGTTGCTGCGATTGATTGAGCGATCGAATCCATTACCGATCGATTGTTCATGAATGAAGAGGAGATCGGAAAGAAAAGAAATTGAAGTTCAAGAGATGGATGTAACGTGTTTGATTCGAGTCGTTGTTCTAGTTCTAGTTAATTTATCCTCTGTTTGAATGTTTTCAACTGGACGGAAGCGAGATGCGATTTCTTGGTTCGATTAAAGAAATTGTATTATATATTTAGTTGAGCTAATTAATCATGACTAATATTTCCGGATTTTTTGTTGTAATGTAATTTTTGTCTTTCTTTTTTCCTTCTCCTCCTTAAGGTTTTTATTTATTTATTATTATTATGTTTTCTTTTTGTAAGTGCAGGGATGGATTTAACTCGAGAGATAAGCCAGACGACTCATTTCTAACAAAAATAAGGATTGAATCTCCGATCTAGAGAAAATAAGCAAACAAGATATTTTAACAGTTGAGCTACACTCACATTTGATACACATGTCAATATGTTAATATTTTTCACATTTAATTTATCAATCAATAATAGCTACCAAGAGTAGCTAAATCTATATAAACTAAACTGTTTGGGGCTTTAACTATTGAACTACACTCACTGACACATGTTAATATATTAACATCTTTCACACTTAATTTATCGGTCAATAATATATTATAGAGTAGCTAATTCGATACATTGTTCAAAGTTTTTGAATCTCGAACTTTCAAAGGTGTTTGTGGCACAAGTTTAGAATTTTAAGTATAAATTTAGTAATCTAGAAGGTTTAGGAGTATGAGTTTAGGAAAACTACATTCGAGAAAATTGATGACGATTGGTTTAGAACAAGTTTTCATTTATAAGTTAATTTGATCAAGCTACATGTGTGAACGCCTAATTAATAGAAGATCTATATAAAGGTAAATTCATTTTATTTTTCCTTTGAGTTTCTATACAATGCTCTTTCACCCAATTGTGGGTGCAAATAAATAAGAGATTTTACACAAAATTCCAGCGAACCAACTGCATTTTAATGAAGGT